ATGCTGTCTGGGGGAATTCTGGGAGTTGAAGTTCACACAACTTAAAGTTGCCAAGTTTGAAAAACAATACCCTGTTTTCCATAGTAACCGTGCTATGATTTCTGTACTTCTAGTATTAGTAGAAAATGTGATTCTTATAATTAGTTCTTAATGTTAAAAATTATCACAAGCTTATATCAGTAACCTATGTAACAATGAGATTATTTCATATGTAAATTCTAATTCTGATAATTTTATGTAATTTGCTAATGGTGCCAGCGAATTTTTCATGTCACAATAAAGCCTAGCCTTTTGATCTATTATTTTTAGTTTGATTATACCTTGTTTTACTGTTCATATTCCATTGTCATATTTTAGTTTGTCTATTTACTCCTCAAGATTATATCGGCCCAGATGCTACAGCCTTTCAAAAAATCTATGCACTGAAATAGTATGTGGGAATGGCCTTGGTAGAGGACAAGTAAGTAGGTAGTTAGGTAGATAGGTAGAATGCCTACAAAATATTCAGATAAGAGAAGGCATAGCCAGCGGTTGCATAATGGGCAGAAAAAGGAAACTCCAAAGGGATCCCCTTTTCTGCCAAGTTTTCAGGTTACAATGGAGATCCTGGGAGATTTCAAACTTGCAAGATTCTGTTAATGTAGCCTTACAATAAAGTAGAATTAGATCATTTGACCAACCTGGAACATAGTATAGAACAGAATTCCTTATTAGACGTGTGATTGGACACACAAGGAATTTGTCTCTGGTGCATAAGCTCTCAGTGTACATATAAGCAACAAGTGATAAATCATGATCATCATAATAAAATACTATTATCATAAATCATAAGATGGAACACTCAGTGATAGTCATAAAATACTAAATAAAAGCAATCAACATAAATCATAAGATATAAAACAACAAAATTATAATCATAAGATGCTGAAGGAATAGGTAACAAGAAAGATGAGAAGGATAATAGTAATACAATCCTACTAGATGGTTTGATGTCCTAGGGCAGGGATAGGCAACCTTGGCTCTTTTATGACACGTGGACTTCAACTTCCAGAATTCCTAAGCCAGCACATGTCATAAAAGAGCCAAGGTTGCCTATCCCTGTCCTAGGGCATAAAAAAGTGTTGTGGGAATTAGTTGTTTAGCAGAGTGATGGCATGGGGTAGGGGGAAAGACTTTGGATGTACTCCCAGACATCAGGGTCAGGAAATGAGCTTCTTAATATATATATATATATATATATATATATATATATATATATATATATATATATATATATATATATATATATAAAAAGGTTCGAATCTCAGAAGGGTAAGTTTGGCTGAAGAGAGTTAAGAAACTCGAAATAGCTATCCCAGTTCTCCCTTTATTCTTTGTTAGCAATCTAAAAATAGAGCACCAGAGTGATGACCGCGCATACCGAGATCGGACCACCCCCCGACGAGTGTGGCACGCAGATGCGTGGTAGCAGTTGGGCCACATTGTAGGGAAGAGGATGATCCCGTACCAACCAATCCGACAAAGAAACAGAGAATTGCGAGCAGATTGCACCCAGCGACACGACGGAAAGACCTCCCAGTGGGGGGTGAGGACGGAAGATCTAGACGTGGAGAACGCGAACGGGGAACTGCCCAATTACGAACTAGGCAGCAATGGACCGTCACTTAGGCACCCCCAAGCAATTGCTCCCAGGAACGAGGGAGGGAGAATAGCAATGGACCCGGTAAAGCAAAAATTGAAATGACACCTATAGAAAGGGACGGGAAGGAGAACAGTATAAAACAGAATGGAATATTTGAATCGCAATTGCAAAAGATGGGGAGATCGGACCGTAACTCAACTAAGACAACCGGAGGAAGCAAAAAGAAATGGGGGATAACATACACACACCCCAGCAAGCAGAACTATGGATAGAAGGTTGGTGGGAAGTAGACAATCACTACCCACGAGGGAAGTGAAGGAACTCTGGCCAATTCCAGGATTAGTGAAAGGGATACGAGCGATGGAATACAGAAAGGAATAAGAAAGAACTATACTCTGATGTAAGACACACACTCAAATTACAGTACGCCCAGCTGGGTCCCGTAACACGGTCTAGGAGCTGAGTGCAGATGATTAGCGGTTGCATATAAGCTTTCCCAACAAACTGCCTTTTATACCCTGACGATGTCAAGAGCTCTTGACGAAAGCTTGGTTTAGCTAATAAATTTTCTACATTTTTCTTCTCTTGGTGATCGACTTTTATTGGATTTTGAGATATATATATATTTATATATATTTATATATTTATATATATTTGATATATATATATATAAATAAAACCTCAGGGGTCATTATAGGATCTATTAGCTGTTTTCAGTTCTTTTTAATATCAATAATAAGGACAATTCTTATTGTTACATCTTGGTATCACCAAGATTTACTATTCTAAGTAATCCCTATAATTATTATTATTATTCCGTGCCTTACTTATTTTTTGAATGGTTATAATTGTATCTATTTCATAGTGACTTATAACTCAAAATAAAGAGATAAATTGTATCAGGAGTTCCACTTGAAGATATCATTACTTATTATTACTAACACTGTCATCAGATTTATTGAGATGCAGTAATCTTACATAAATTTATGTAGGATACAAAATAAACAATAAGAACTTCAAGCAATAAATATGCAAGTACATGTTGTATCTTTTTAATATCTCTGAAATATAATATATATGCCCTTTATAAATTTTAAATACACTGTATTAGAAACATAGTCATGTTTAAAACAAACCCATAGGAATTGAGAATAGGAACTCATTATTCATTTAAACCTAAATGAATTCATCATCATTGGTGTGATTTAAGTTTAGAGCAAAACCATTAAACTAAGCAAAATGAAACACTCTCTATGCAGATTTTTTTTTTTAAAAAAACTATCTCTCTCTCTTGTACTATTTTTTTTTATTTTTTGTTTGTAAAAATTCCTCAGGCTTCTTTCAAGAGTTTTGAAAAAGTTATGAAGGAATTTGGAAGGTGTAAACAGAGCCCCCCCTTCAGTAGTGCTCTCCAAATGCCTCTGGCTTCATTTCCACAATCACAAGACAACATTGTCTTTATACAGGCTGTCATCAGAATTGTAATAAAACAGCCAGGCCTGTGCAAAACGTAGCCAATATCTTCATCATCCTCATAAAATGGAAAGTTAATATCATTATATACTTTTTAAAAACAATGGTCAGAATTTGTCTATACTGAATACAAATATGATTCCTATGATCTATATAGTCTCCATGATTAGTTGAACTACAAGGATGTTAATAGAAATATTAACATATTCCTTACTTAGGAATATAAGTATTCTTTATCAATGAAGAATAATATTTGTAGCTCAAGGTTGAAACGAGAGGTCTTTGGTGCTCTCTGAGCTTGCTTGTTTTCTTTCATTACCCTAACTAGATAACATTCGTTATGCTAGTAAAATAATATTTTAATAAACAGATTTCCCTTTTTTACTAACTCAGGAATGACCAGTCTAGATGATACTCTATGAATATGCTTCTTTTAATATATGCTTATAAAATCTGAAAAAAAGCAATTATTTCACAATTATTTTTGCACATTTATAGATTATGCAAGTATCATGACTGAGTCAGCTACAATTCCTGACTTTTAGTTCAAAACAAATCCAATAGTTTAAAAATAATTTTGTAACAGATAACTAAATCAAGTTTTACATTTCTCCTAATTATAACCTGGTTAGTCTTGATATTACCTCAATATTCAAAAATATCAAACAGGGGGACTGTCATACTATTTCTGTCTAATTAACACCTCACACATCCTCCAACAAAAGAGTAAAAAGTTTATAAATTTTCAACCTACAAAGTGAGTCCTGCATGGGAGACTTGCCATTCATCACTGCAGTGACTCAGAATGCATTAGATATTAACACTGCAATTAAGAAGCCTACATCATCATGCATTTTTTTTATTTGCAATAAGAAAACCCATCTATTTTAGAAACCTGTGTATTAATTCTGTGCCAAAATCAATTTCATAATTTTGCTAGAAGTTCATTGTCTTTGTAAAAGAGGCTCCATTAAAAAAAAAATCCTGAAGACTGAGTACCATTGTTTTGTGTCAATGACTTCCATAATTTTCATGATGTGCAGATTCCTCCGCTGCAATTTGAAAAGGGTCCATAGGAATTTCTTCATGATTCAATACACTGAATTTCTTTTGATCAAATGGAATAGCACACAGCTGGAGAGACTATAAGCACGCAGGCAAATGACCGTTCAATTAAAGGCAACCTTTACACATACCCCTTGGCCACCTATAACTACATAAGTGCAAAAGCACAACACCCCAGGAGTTTCACCCAAATTCTCTTCCTTTGAAAGGAATTTCACAATCAAATCCTCTTCCATCAAACAGAATGATCACAGAATACAGATTTTTTTTCCCTCCTGGGGCAGTTACGATTTCATGTCTCTTTATTAGAAATCCACTGAATTCCATGTGATATATTTCCAAAAAATATCAATAAACTTGGGTTTACCACACTTAAGAATTTAATCATCTATCGATTGCATGATTTTAATTATTGTCATCTTTAAGTTGGTCAAATTTGCTATTGCCTAATGATCACCTTAGCTTAGATCACCACGAAGATAAGAAACCATGAGTACAATTCATGCAATGCTTAGAAACCCAATGATCCTGATTAATTCTGTGTAACAGCATAATTGCTCTCGCAATTTTGGAAATCACGGAAGTATGGTTGATTTAAAAAAAAAAAAATCTTCCAAAATACGATGGCAAGAAACTAACGATCTACCTTCCCGTCATCTCTTCATATTGTAAATTTAGGGTATCGCAACTCAGCAGATATCGTTCCAATAGTTGGAAAAATCGCCTTACTAGAATACCATCCGTATCTCTACGCTACGTTTAAGAGAGAGAGGAAGGGGAAAGGGGGGGGGGGAATGAAAACGAAGAAAAAGAAAGAAAGCCACGGCAACTCCATCAGACGCCACTAGAGTTCTCCTTTTTCCGAGGATCCGAGGCTGTATCCTAAACCCTGTTTATCCCAGAAAGCTAGAAGTGTGCAGACGGCCAGGAGCGAGGAGAGACAGAGAGGAAAAAAAAAATTCAGACACAATAAAACTCCGATGGGGAAAGAAAATATGTAGCAGGCGGAAAAGGCAGCCGCGGCCTGGAGCAAGAATTGCAAACTTTAACCTGGGCGAACTTCTTTTCCTCCGCCTGCAGAATCTGCAACTGGTAGAGACGCCGCCTGACAAGGTGAGGGACCCCGGCTTCAGTGGGGGTGGAGGAGAAGGAAGAAGAGGGGGGAAAGGGGGGGAGAGAGACCGAGGGGAATCAGCGAAAAAGCCCGCTTTTGCAATCCCTGCGGTGCAAATCTTGAGTGTGTTTTATTCCCTGGCTTGGAGGGAGTAAGAGAAGGAGGGACGGGGGCAAGGAGGGAGAGGCGGCGGCTCGGGGTGTTGGTGAGAATTCTTGTTTTTTCTTTTTAAAATAGGATGGAGGATTATAAACATGGCGCCTTAAAAAAAAAACTACAAAACCCGGGTCTGCTAGAGTCAGCCGCGGGAGGGAGAAGAAGGTTGAATGCGACGGGGAGAAGAAATAAATACCGATGGGGGCAGAGATAGAGATGCAGCGGCTGTGGAGATGTGTGTATGTGGGGGGGGGGAGGTTGCACAAAATCAGAATACAACGGGGGGGGGGGGAGAGAAGGCAGGGTACTAACCGCCTGGGGAGCAAGCCTACTCGCTCTGGCAGAATGCATGGGAGGGGGTCTCTTTCTCACTCCACCTTTCCTCCTTTCTTCTATCCCCCCGACCCGTTTTCTGGAACCTCGTGTGAATCCGGGGGTGCCCCTTCCATCCCGGAGCGGGAAAGGCTCATCTATTCAACCTAGCTCCCGCACGAGACGGGCGACTGCGGCGAGGAAGGGGCTTCCCGGACCGACCCCCCCCCAACCCCTCCCGTCGCGGCGGCGGCCACCTGCGGGGAAGGGGAGGGTGGTCGCGGAGGAGAAGGGGTGTGTGCGTGAGCCCATCGCGAGGCGGGAGCAAAGGACGGGTTGGGGAAAAACTCCATCCCCGGGAAGGCCTGCTCTGACGGGGAACCCGGGAGTCGCGTGACCGGAGAGGCCCTGGGCGGGTCGCCGCTCTTCGCAGCCGCAGTCTTCCGGATGGGCCTCCCGCTCGGAGACGCCCGCGCTCGCTTGCTCGCCTCGCTGGGGCGGCTTTGGAGCAGGTCTGGGCCGGATAATGGCAGGCAGGCAGGGATGTGGGCGAAGAGGAGGAAAGACAGGCCTGAAGGGAAGGGGGCTTCGTGGTCTGGGCCGTAAAAGCCTCTCCTCTGGGCTCGGGCTTGGTTTAATCCTGGCTTAAAGTAGGAAGGGGAAGTTTTTGCATCCCTAAATAAAAGGAAAGAAGGTTGTAGGTAGCCTTTGGAAGTGGAAAATGGTGGTGGTGGTGGTGGTGCTGAGGATCATAATAATCGATAGTAGCATCAGACTGTCTTGCTTTTGCAAGGATAGAGGCATTGAACTCAGCCTGCCTGGACTGAAGTAATATGCCTCTTACGAGGTTTGAAGGACACGGGTACCAACCTCCACCACCACCACCCCAAAAAACCCGAGACGGGGTCAAGAAGAGACACCTTCCAGAGATCTTTCCAATCTTTATAGATAGCTCATAGAGAGTTGCTTTAGTCTTTCCTGGAAAATATTTTACTCTCTTTTTTTTAATCAAGTTAGTAGATGAGGAGGGGGGGTTACTGCTAGTTGAGTCTATAATGGACTGACATAGTATATCTCTAGTTTAATGGATAGCAGATTTATGTTAATCTGGCTGAGTTGCTAATAGTCATTATTTTGTATTAATTAACACACTTTTGTTTTCCTTTTAAGGCTGCAGGGTTATCTAGAGAATAAAGTCCAAATCCATAAGCCAGAATGAACTTGGTGGGTTTTGTTTGCTTATCTGTTCAATTTATAGCCCACCATTCCTTGAGCTTGCTAACAGTCATCCTTGCACAAGATTTCAGGAGGCCTGGAAAAGATCGAACAGGTTGTTCTCTTGTGGCTGGTTGTGGGGATTGAGATTTCTCTGTCAGATATAATGATTGGGTTGACATGGTTTGTGTTCTGCTCCTGCTGTAAGGTTAAGAATTATTATAAGTGTCTAAAGATATAATAATGTTTTCAGTAACAGATTTATTTCCTGTCCACAAAGCCCAACCTTAGTGTTTTTTTTTTCCATCTAACCAAAGCTGGACTTGCTTAAGTTCAACAGAGTTGAAGCAGAATTCTTCAGGGGTTGCAGCTTGTGCTCTGGATTGGATACATGCCATTTATTTTTATCTAAGAGTGTTGTTTCCTTGTCCCCCACTTAATTAGGTGTCCTTTGAGAAGGCATTTTCTTACATAACATCTCTATTTTAAACTACACTGAACAGACAAGTAAAAACAATATTGATATACATATTCAGTTTTTCCACATGAAATGCATATTTAATCCAGGAGCTAATCTACCAATGATGTGTAAATTGCAAACCTTTGCTGTCCAAAAGAAAGCAGCAAAACCCACATAATTAAATATAATATCAAATGATGAAAAATTAGATTTTTTATTTTGTTGATTTTTTAAAAGATAACAATGTCTCAAATATGACTTCCTTTAGTATCTGTGGTCTTATAACTATACTGTTCTATGTGACAGCTCATGTTTTAAATATCATTCCATACTGTAATCAAGTCAGGTAATGCTTGAAATCTCTCCATTTTGAGGTAGATTTATGACAGCATCTCTCCTCTCCAGGGCTGAATTGGAAGCCCACTCTTAAAACTGGAATTTCAAGAGGTCTTACAAGAATTTATGATTGGTCCTATCAGAGCCATGGTTGAAATCTGGAATCAGGTCAGCTGGACAGTTAATAAAAAATCCTCCTGACCTGAAGCCAAGATGGATGCAACCATTGGCAAGCAGGGAAAGGAAGTCACTGAGAGCAGCTCCCACGTGACATGTGCAGAAGCAAAATGGATGAGTGATTGGAGTTGCTGTCTCTTCAATCCTCGATCATGAGCAAAAAGAATCAGGTTTTGTATGCGAAGCCAGCCGAACCAGCTTTGAGTCGTTTCAGAGAGCGAATCGGCTATCGGGAGGGGCCACTGTGGATTCCAAGGTAACAGTATCAAACTCCCCCTCCTCTTTTTCTGTTCTTTTGACCCATCCTTTCCTTAAAATCCATGCCTGGATCCTTTGTTCAGCACGAGGTGGAAAATGCTAGCCGCCCCACCTATTCCCCACCAGGGCTGCGAGAGAGGGGTGGCAAGACTGGTGTCTGAATTTTCTGAGTTGGGACCTCACCTGAAATACTGCATCCAGTTTTGGTCATCACACTACAAAAAAGATGTTGAAACTTAGTTGCAGAATTTGGGTTTGGCTAGTCTAGAGAAAAGAAGGACTTGTGGGAGACATGATAGCAGTATTCCAGTATTTAATGGGCTGCCGCAGAAGAGAGGGTCAATTTATTTTCCAAAGCAAGGAACATTCCATTTCCAACAACATATCTTTGTGAAACAGGGTTTTCCAACTTGTTGGTTATCAAGTCTAAATACAGAAGTAGACTTGTTGTGGAAGATGATCTTCGTTGTGCTCTTGCAAAGACTGCCCCGAGAATTTCTGATCTGGTGAGAAAGAAGCAATCTCAACCTTTGCACTGATGTTGGCTTTTTAAGCATACTGTCGCAAAATGTAGCAATGTAGTTTACTGTTGTTATATTAAGACTGTTACCCATGCTACACCATGTTTCAAGACAAAATTTCATTTATTTGTAATTAGAAATAAATATTTCACAATATATAATTACGTATAATGTTTTAATTATGTTCAATTTGTAACAATGAAAATACATCCTGCATATCAGGTATTTACATTACGATTCATAACAGCAAAATTACAGTTATGAAGTAGCAATGAAAATAATTTTATGGTTGGGGTCACCACAATATGAGGAACTGTATTAAAGGGTCGCGGCATTAGGAAGGTTGAGAAACACTGCGCTAGTTGTAAGTAACTATACGGGGTAATGTCATCTCCATTGTCCGAGGACATTTCCATGGTGATGTGGTCAACATGATGTCATGGAGTACTGTTACCTTCCCACCAAAGATGGATAGAGTGCATTTAAGGAATTATTATTTTTAAAATTTTTGGTTGGTAAAACAGTTCATAATCAGCCCAGTATAGATGCCACCATTGATACAGAGATAATAAAGAGTGGTATTCAAAAACTGGGCAATGGGTTGGACTACCTCCAAAGTCCCTTCCAGCTCTATGATTCTATGAAATTATTGTATTGATTGGATTAGTTTCAGTTTGTGACATCTGAAAATTTGGAGAGTCTAAGACAGAGGTGTCAAACTACTGGCCCACGGGCCGGATGCGTCATCCAGGAGCGGCACCCACCCCATTGCTGGCAATGGCAAAACTGTCCTGATATGTTATGCGACGTCACGTGAAGTCGTGAGTTTGACATGTCTGGTTTAAGAGATAGGTAAATATAGATCAGTCTTTAATCTTTTGTGATTAAAGTGGTTTGAAAGGCTGGTGGCTTCTTGGCTATAAGCAGCAATCCAGCAATTTTGTTATTTTCATCCTAACCCTAACCCCAATTAAAATAATTTCTGTTACTGCTATACTATATTTTTTATTAACAGGTGTCAAGTAAATTACAATTTTTAACAGTACTATCTAGGCTACATTAAGTTAAATCAATAAAAATAATGGAATAAAATGATAAAGAATATTCCAGTATTTTCCTCCTCGTTAAATTTTCTCTAGATCAGCTCTAATTTCAGAAAGTGAAATGTATACAATGAAAGCAGATATTCTATCTGAAAATTACCTTGAGTTTGGAATATTACATAAAATTAAAGTTTCAACAGAAGAGTTTATAGTACTGCAATTTGCCAACTCTTTTCAATGCTAATAAACCTTTTAAATCAGTGGTTCTCAACTTTTTTATACGGCGACCCCGGTCATAAGCAGGCGGCACGGCGCCCCCCGCGCGACGCGCATGTGCGAAGCCACCCCCATGCACCACCCCTGCGCGCCGCCACCCCATGCGCTGCCCCCTGTGCGGCGCGCATGCGTGGCGGCGCCCCCTGCATGGCGGCACCCCCTGCATAGCGTGCATGCGTGCCGCCCCCATGCACCGCCCCTGCGCAGCGCACAGGCGCGGCGTTGCCCCCTGCGCCGGCTGACAA